AGTTCAATCCCCAGTACTACAAAAAAAAAAAAAAAAAAAAAGGAAAGATGCACAGATCATAACACAAAAGCAGAGATAGCTGTCTCACAAATATCCCTTGTCATTAAATGTCATTTATTTGCTTAATATCCACGTATGTATTTGTTTAGACACACAGACTCACATACAAAGGTATCTGTGTATTTTAGGTGGCTACCTCCATTGAGATCCGCCTATGTATTCGATTTCTAAGACAAACCCCTGTAGGTGACTGGACTTCATCGGATGATGTCCCAGAAGCTTGGTCACTCTCACCGTCTGATCCCATCTTTAGATTCTCATGAACAATATCTGCACCAGAAAAAGGTAGTTTACCTTAAAGAAAGTGTATCCTACTATATCATACAATTTATCATTACAGGTAAAATACATACAGTCAACATGCAAAACTTAAAGCATTGAATCACAGGTATTTTTCCAGAAGAACTGAAAACTCATACCACAGTGATATATGTGCACCCATGTTTATAGCAGCATAATTTGTCATAACAAAATCCTAGAAACAACCCAGATGCCCATAAAATGAAGAATGGCTAAAGATGTGGTATTTTTATACAATGGAGTACTATTCAGCTATAAAACAGGATAAGTCTGAGTCTTTTGTTGGTAAATGAATGCAACTAGCAAACATACTCTTAAATGAAATAAATCAGATCCACATGTGCAAACATTGTATTGTCTCCTTAGTGTGAGAACCTGAAAGAGAAAATGGAATTGAAGGGTACAGTAGATGCTGGGAAAAGGGAATGAATGTATTCAAAAGGAAAGCATTACTGAGTTGAGGAGAAGGACAGGAGAGGGAATGGGGGAAAGAGATTTATCTATGTATATAAGCAGGATGGTTTGGACAACTGTACTGGGCATTTATGCTGGTCTCCGGAAAGGAGCAGATAATATTTAAATTTGTTTTGTCTTTTTTCAATTGTTTCTACTTTTTCTCTTAATTTCTCATACATTTCTTTGTTTTTTTCTTCCAATTTTACATGCATATAATCTGGTAACTTGAATAACTAACTGGTAGGAAGACAACACTATGTACAACAAATACTGTGAAATTCATACTACTTTGTTAAGTGAAATTCTGTATCACTTGTAATTTTTTTCTGTTTTAATTCTAATTTGTACTCTCTTTAAAAAATAAAATTTAGTCTTGGTGTGCAATTAGTTGATCAGCACATAATTTTTAAAAACATACTTCGAATTGTCTTAAAATAGTAAAGAATATCTTTACATTCTCATTATCAAAAGTTATGAAAGAACTAGCATTCAGGACCAGCGAGATAGGTCAGTGGACTTAGCGCCTCTTTAGGCAAGCACAGGGACTAGGGTTCAATCTCTAGCACCACATGCTGCACTGGCCCTGCCCCTCAGTGCACTGAGCTGGCAAATGAGGCCAGGCATGGCGGTGCAAACCTGTAATCCTGGAGCTGGGGAGGCTGAAAGTAGGAGGATCACTATGAGTCTGAGCTGCGTAGTGAGACCCTATACAAATAAAAATTAAAAAGAAAAAAAAAAAAAAAAGAACTGGCATTCCAGTTTTTCCTGAGAGTTAAATGTTAAGACTTGTGTCTAGATGTCCCTAAAGCCTCATGCTGTCATAGGTGGGGTTCCTTCAGAGGTGGCTGGATCTGGAGTGTGATTACTAAGTCAGTCCACTGACTGGTTTGGCACCATCCCTAGTCCCATTGCCTAGACAGAGTATAAAAGGGGCAGAAAGAAGCTGCCAAGGTCCCCATTTGCTCGGGCCTGCCTGCTTGTCGAGGACTACTTCTCTGCAGTGCCCATCTGCCATGCCACTTTGTCTTGGAGCCACCCAACCGTGAACTGAAACCTCTATGAAATGTGAGCCAAATAAGCTTTTTCCTCCTTTAACTTAGAGAGCTAAGTATCTCAGCAAAAAGAAACATAACTAAGACATTGAATAAAATTATAGACTAGAAATGATACTTGAAATGATACTTGAGAATTAGTCATTTCTCTTTTTCCAGATCTAAGAACAGAGACTTGGAAAGTTAACTGACTTTTAAAAGTCATATTGCCTGAAGGCAGAGCAGGCTAGAAACCTGTTCTTCCACCTCTCATTTGGCTTAGTATGCTTTCAATTAAATAATGTATCACTGGGTCCAGAGGCAAATACAGTCGGTTCACAGAATATTGTTCTATAACTTTAGAAGTTGCCAATCCAGCTTGCCCTCCCCAACCCCAGGGTTAACATTTCAAAAATTATTCATTGAGTTTGGCATGGCAGTGCACACCTGTAATTCTAGCATTCTGCAAGGGTGAGGCAGGAGGATCACAAATTCAAGTCATACCTGGGCAACTTAGCAAGACCTTGTCTAAAAACAAAACAAAACAAGGCAAAACAAAACACGTATGTACGTAGTGTATTGTATATGTAAAAGGACTGGGGATGTAGTTCAGTGTGAAGGGCCTGGCTTCAATCTTCAGTACTAGGGCTGGCCAAATAGCTCAGTGGATTAAAGTGCCTGCTTAGGCAGATGCAGGGGCCGGGAGTTCGATCCCCTGGCCTGCCGGGCCAGCCCCACCACCCCGGGTGCACTGAGATGGCGATTGAGACTGGGTGTAGTGGCACGCGCCTATATTCCCAGCACTTGGGAGACTGTACACAGGAGGATCACTATGAGTCTGATCTACGCAGTGAGACCCTGTACACCTTCCTAAATGGAAAAAAAAGAAAAAAAATCCTCCTCAGTACTGCGGGAACGGGTGGGTAGTGGGAGGTCCTTGAGTATCTGTTTTATACGAAACTACAAAAACAAGTTTATGACTTCGCAGAGCTCAAAAATTTGCTATGAAAAAGAATATATATTACAATAATAGAAGTAGAGAGGAGAAAGATTAATTCTACCTGGGAATATGTTCTTAAAAACATGTATATTACATACCTGTTCTTATATTTGCACTTGTCATTCACTCTTTAACTCATCTAGCAAGTGTAGCTCATTAAAAATAAAAGCTAGATCTAGAGCCATCTCTCACTATTATTCCTCTCTGTGATTTTTCATTCCTAAAAGTCTTGTGCTCTTTCATTTTTAACATACTTTTTCCCTCCCATTAGATTAACCTGGAAAACTCAGATTCATTCTTCAAAACTATGCTCCCCCTTGAGTGAAGTCTTAAAATCTCGGACGCAGTGGCTTTTATGCTGGCACCTGCTGCCTGCAGAGCCCTTTTGCTTCACATGACTTTATATCACATTACGGGACCCTTGGGGCAGGATCTGATTATTTGCTTTTGTATTCTAAAACTTAAAGGGCCTGGCTCTTAGACGATCCTCAATATTCATGAACTGAATAGTAACTGCAAGTCAAAGAATGGACTAGATAACTGGACCTCTTTTCCAAAAGAAAGCTATATGATAAATATAAACTTAAATTTAATGAACATATTTACTTACAAAAGTGAGAGAACTGCTTAGGTTAAGAAAAATTGAAATCAAGGTTTCATAGCAAATCAGTATCATTTCAGTATTTTTGGCTTTGTAACTTAGTACTGAGAAAATTCCAATTCCTATTCATAAGCAGTTATAAATGGTAACAGAATACATTTCAACTCTATAGAGATTTCTGTAGAAATTTTATGGTGCGATCTGAACAAAAATTTAACTTAGCAACGAAAGTCAATATACTGATAACTGACTCCTCTTAAAATTGGTACCTAAAGAATCTAAGCTCATGTATACTCTTCGGTCACATTTCTAAATGTTAAAAGATAATTTAAGGCCTCCATTTCTAGAAAAATTTAAACACCTACTTCTTTAAGGAAATGTTTACTAAAAATAACACCTTGAAGTATATAACTAAATTTGCAAGACTGTATGGGTAAAGGCACCAAAGTAAAAACAAAGAGAGAACTGAAAACCCAAGGCTCTTATGCAGACTCTGCCACCTTTTTGGCAGGAGTTTCTGAGGTTGGTATGAAGATGTCTGAATTTAGTTGCTACCGTGGGATTAAATGAAACCCTCAGTATCTGAGTTGCAACTGAGACTTTCTCGTAAAAAGCCCTAACTCTTAATTTAAAAGTGCCAAGCCTTTAAAACATACTGGGCAGAATTTTTTAAAAAGCCTTGTTGCATATGGGTTACAAAAGAAATTTACTCATCTCAGATTGAACAAATACTGAGTGCCATCTGACTCAACTAAGAAATCACATTCTTACCAAACAAGTATAGCTCTGACACGTCTACTGGTGTGCAGCTCTGTTTCCTTTGAGACAAAAGTGAAACAATGACAGCTATGTCAGAACTTTACTCACTTGTCAGTGGGGTAAGGAATTTCCTTGCTGAATCAGGCGGTGGTTTTTAAGAACTAAAAGAATATTTACGTGTTCAATTTTTGGGCTGTTCACACAACTGTAAAAGCTTCAGACACAATATACTTTCGAATTTTACCAGCATTACTAATATTTCCAGTATCACTTTCTTAAATCTAGAACAAAAATAAAAGGATGCTTTGCGTTTTGGTTTGTTGGGTTTGGTTTGGCTTGGTTAGGGTACTAGAAATCAAACCTGGGGGCCCTTACACTGAGCTCATCCCAACCTTTATCTTACTGAGACAAGGTCTCACTACATTGCCTAGGGTGGATTTGAATTTGAGCTCCTTCTGGCTGAACCTCCCAGAACACGCTGGGATTACAGGATGCACCATGATGCCCAGCAATAATGGATGCTGGCCACTGAACTAAAAATGTGTTTTGCATTTTTAAGAGACTTTCCAGCCAAAAAGAAAAACCGGCAACAGAGACATTTATAATCCACAGAACCTAAAAAATATGCTAACCAGCTTTTGGTCTAGTCAATCAAAAAAGCAATAAATCCCTCTGATCTATAGTGTTTTCTGATTCCATGAGGTAAACATTCCCTCTCTAGTCAATTTCAGGCTACCAACCTGACAGCACTGGACATCCAACATTTGGAAGAAATGTGCAGCAGTGCACTGTGGCCTAGTATTTTGACTACAGAGATACAACAGAAATAATCCTCACCTCATAGGCAACAGTAAAAAGTAGTAAAAGGATTTTAGGAAATAATGACTTGTTTTAATTTAGCTTATCCATCAATAAGTAAGCTTATTACATTACATTTTTAAAAATGGCTATTATTAATATCTATGTTAAACAACCATAGCTCCTGAACATTTAACAGTCATCTCTCCTGAACCAGACTAAGCTGATTCCAGCACAGCACACTGTAGGGCTGCACTCACAGGAACAGGCTACACACACTTCCCACAGACACCACTGCAGAGGGGATAAGCTTATACTCTCAGATTAACACAGCATATCAAGAAAGAATCTCTCATGCAAGAAATGAAGCAAGCAGCAGAATAAAATGCACATGAACTCCAGGAAATACCATTATCTATTGTCAAAACATGGTCAGGCCCTGCCCCTGGGCATGCTGAGGTGACCACCAAGTCCAGGCATGGTGGTAGCACGCCCATAATCCCAGCACTAGGGAGGCTGAAAACAGGAGGATTACTACGAGTCCAAGCTGTATAGTAAGGCCCTGCACAAAATATAAAATCATGGTAAGATACTAATAAAAAAGAACAGAAATAATCATATTTAATCTAATCATTGCGCTATTCTATCAGATGGTGATGCTTTGAAGAGTTGCTAAGACCCTAAATTAAGCACCATCTCAGCAGCCATCCATCTTGAAATTTTGCATCTACTGTTACTCGGTTTGTCTTCTTTCTACTGGACAGGTGTCCAAAAATTACTGAGTCCTTCTCCATAGGGTGAGCACCACTACCTCTCTAGAACTTACCTTCTGTCTTCTTCCTAGTCTTAACTTGTTGTTGGTGGTGGTTTGTTTTGTTTTTAATCTGACAAAGGGAAATCAGGTAATAAAGGTTAACTGACTTTCATAAAGCTAAAACACAAATATGCCAGGGATGTAGCTCAGCAGCACAGTGCCCTTCTGGAGTGCAAGGCCCTGAGTTCCACTCTCACTACCAAATAAATAACAAAAATATATAGAGGTCCTGCAATCAGGAAGTTAAATATAGTAGAAACATAATCAAATTACCTAATCTGCTTCCATTTCTGGGCATTGCCATGAAGGAGCCAAGGCTGCCTCCAATAACACTGTGGGGTCTCCGCAAGGGGAGCTTCTTGAAAGACCCTGTGTACTGGTGCAGGAAGGAGTGCATGCTGTGAGATGTGGGAGGCCGGCCATTCTTCACAATAGGCTCTGCAGTTCACAACATCCAAAAATCATTCCAGCGCCAGCCCAAGATTCAGGATCACATGAGAAGGATTGGGAAAGAAAAACAGAAAAGAAAACAAAATGTTGTAACAGAGATCTCTACATTTAGCCTTACTTCTTTGGCTATCTAATGCAAATGTTAAAGTTATAATAATTTCTATGAAAAAGTATAGAAAATAGCTGGTCTAATAACTTATCTATGTATTTCTCATATAGCCAAAATTAACAATCACCGAACTACTAAGTCTCAAGATGGTTTCCACACTACTCTTCCATGTACTGACTTTGTGAACAAAATAGAAATACTTAATTGCACATCAATACAGAGACTTTGAAATTACTGCCCAAGTTTGGAATTTTTAATATAAAAAGTTTTTAAATAATTACAGACTTGGGCTGGGGAAATAGGCATAAGCGTCTTCCTGGCAAGCACAAGGTCTTGAGTTCAATCCCCAGTACTTCCCCCAAAAAATAACAATAGTAATTACAGACTCATATTAGCACAAAGTATCCAAATACAGTAGTTAAAAATTATTTAAGTAGGAAAAAAAATCTGAGTAAGATTGTCAAATGTCTGTTTTAATTCTATTGAGTATATCTTTAAAAATGGAACTACTGGATTATATGGTTCTATGTTTAACCTTCTGAGGAAATGAGATAGATTAATTTTTGCTAGTTTTAAGAAATTAAACATTTAATACTTTTTCATTTAAAATCTGATAAGCTTGGAATTCTTTTCCCTTACATATACTTTAAGAAAATCTACTTAATATTTCAGTTTATAAATTTTGTGCAAACATTTCATTTCATACCTCAGGAAAGCTATACTAAGTTAAGGTCAGTATGCTTAAATCAACCAAAGTTTGTAAATTTTCAACTTATTTTTAATATAGCAACTACAAATTCAGGACTGATCTTTCCCTAGATTCAATCTACCTGTCAGTGTGCAAATAGCCAAGTTAAATAAATGCACCCAGTAATGTGGACTCTAATTATATTAAAACATTTATAACTTAGTTTAAAACTTCACAGTGCAGCTCAGTTATCAAAATGACAGAATCATTAACTCAAAGTCTATTTGAAAGGAAGAGGAACATGTACCAGTAAGAAGTTATGGGCATATATATAACCAAAGCATCATGTATGCTGTAATTTTTCCAAGGTGTTTATAGTACTACTTCTTGAAGTATGTACTTCCCCACTCAGTTGGGTGTACAGAACGCATGACAGCTGCATGATTGTATATAATGCAAGAATAATAGGATTTGTGGTCATGTAATTAAACAAGAGATAGGAGATTAAAAATTGATCCAAAGAGAGTTTACTCAGGGAAATAATAAGTTACATCTCTCATACTCCATACTGCCACTGTCACTTTTTTTTTTTTTTTTTTGGTGGAACCGGGGATTGAACTCAGGCCCTTGCGCTTGCCAGGGAAGTGCTTATTCCACTGAGCCATCTCCCCGGCCCCTGAGCCATCTCCCAGCCCTAGACAATTTTGTTACTTTTTTTTTGGTATCACTGTCATCTGACAAAGACCATTTTGATTTATAAACTCATTATATCATGTATGAGCAGAATAAAAAGCGCTCTCACACACTCATAAGAACTTGACATAGACTATGTTTTTACAAGACCTATCTTAGAAATTTTTTGTGCTTTAAAAAAATAAAACAAAAAAACTCAAACTCCATAAGGAAAGAATGTGTTGGATAGAACCAGTTATCAGGCACTGGTAGGTGACCAAACAGATGTAGAATCTCTGCTAAGGCTGTTCATGAAATCTCCGCATTATTACAGAAAATAAGCAATAGAAGGTTACAGGAGTCCATGCTATCAGCAATCTCTGCAACCCAAGAAGAAGTAATGTTTCATTATGAGAGACGCCTGCAAATATCATTTCAAGCAACTCAGGCCAAAAACACCCAACAGAGCCCGTTTTCTCTTCTTTTACCTATTAGAATTGCTATTACAATAAAGGAAGTTTTAGTAATATAAACTACTTGAAAAAATTAGGTATTTCTAACACCACTTGTTACAAACTGTGTCTTCTAAGATAATATTAAGGTATTCTAGAAAATATGTAACTAATCTAAAAATTAACTACTTGTCCAAAATGTTTCTTTGATTTGTAATTGTCTTTTAAATGTGAAAAGAGATTTGCTTTGCAGTCAAATACACATTAAGAATTTATCCTAGGCACTATTTACCAAGATGCATACTGTGCATATTTTACTCCTGAATATCTCCAGCAAACATTCTAGTAAGACTCTTCTATCCCAAGAACGAACACACTGGACTGAATTAACATGAAGTCTTCAGTGGGAGTTTGGATATTGTTCCATGTATCCAATACAATCAGTTTATAAGAGGAAGAAAATATTATAAAATTATCTTCAGAATTGGATCCAAATGCAAAATTGCGCCTCTTACATATAATTATACCTTAGTTATTATTTTACATTTTCTTTCTACTGAGCCTATCTCTCTTCTCCCCATGTTAAAAACAAAACTGGCAATGTCAAAGGAAAGCATTAGCAAAATCAAGGTCTAGAAAAACAATGTGGTATTGCAGACTGAATGAAAAAATCCAAGTTATAATGTACTGACTGTGCCAACAGTCACCTGACAACCTGGGGACCCTGGAGCAAGTATTACCCTTTTGAAAAAACCAAAGAAGGCATCTAAAGTCTGAGTAAGATAAATGACATCTGACCAACTCTTCTAGTGTTGGTCAAATCGCAAACCCCAGCTTGCAACTAACAGTACAGCTCCCTCCATGATACTGTCCCTTTCACAACACAGTATCTACATGGAATGGAAGGTGAGTGTGTTCATATTTTTACAACTGCTACAAATCTGGAAGAGCAGAATTTCAAAGTACAAGCAATGATGACTTGCCATATTCTGCATATGCTAACACACTGGCAGCCATTCATGGAAGTTCTTTCCTGATTATTATGACATCTCTAGGATTATTTTAGTTTTAAGTACATAGCCATGTTCTAACAATTTCACTAAGTTTGCATTTTCATTCCGTTTAGCAAGCTCTTTTATTTTAACATATTAGTACTTGGAATTGTGAAAAGCAATGTCAAATGCATGAAACATCAAACATGCCTGCATTAAGTGCTCTCAATATTAGGGATAGACCCTAATAAACACAGAACATGAAAAGTAAAAATGCACTCATGATGAATTTCATAACATATATGGATAGTCCCTATGCGTATAGGTGGTTGTAAACTATTAGGAAGTAACAAACAGGAATTTCACACACATTATATGCACTATAACTCAGGTTATAAAAGTAACAAAAATGATTGAAAAATACATCATATTCACTATAACTCAGATTATAAAAGTAACAAAAATGATTGAAAAATACACTGTGATCAAAAAATAGTGACAGCTTAATTTGCTTAAAAATATCACAGTAAAAGATACATTACTATTTTTTTTTTTTTTTTTTTTTTTTTTGCGGAACCAGCAATTGAACTCAGGCCCTTGCACTTGCCAGGGAAGCGCTTATTCCACTGAGCCATCTCCCCGGCCCCTACATTACTATTAATCCTCCTCAAAAACACCCTTCAGTATCCCATCACTCCTACTTCCCGAGAAACAGTTGTAGAAGTCCTCTTTTGTGTCTTTAATTGAACTGTGGCTGCCTCAATGCACTAAATCAACTCCAAGTGTTGGCTTTTCCTGAAGCAGAACTCAGAGGTGCCAGAACCAGTGAATGAGGTGGAAAAGGACCAAACATAATGCTTTTACAAGACTGCCAACACTGCCTGTTCATTAAATGGCACTCAGCAGCAATTGCCGCCATATTTTTGATAAGATCCCATAAAGACATTCATGAGAGAAGACTTCCAGACCTGCTTCAAAAAGCATTATTAACTAGTACAAGGTCTTTTAGTATAACTTTTTAAATGTAAACATTCACCATGTAGTTTATCTCTTGTGATTTGAAAATAGTTATTTAACAATTAGCATAATGTTATACAACTTATTCTTACTTATGAACTAGTAAAAAAACAGATAAGTGGTATGAAATAACTTATCCAGGAGACCAAGCACAGTAACATTATTGGAGTGACTGCAGAATATTCCAGTAACTATGAAAAGGTATGTAATCTTGTCTTTCCTAAGAAACAAAGACTGAGAGATACAAAAGGATACAAGTAGGAATCTATCTGGGCAGCACATTTACACCCTATTTACAGAGTAAGTGAATGGGGAGCACCTATCCCACCCCAAACATTTACCATTATCTTTGCTGCTGTTTTCTTCAATGGTCATTTGTTCAGCCAGTTCAGATAATGACTCATCAATAGTCTGGCTTCCTCGAGGTGTGAGGGACAGCCTTCTCTTGAACTTTTTCATCCTACCAATTGAAAGTCACTTGAAAAATCCTGCAAGTAAAGAATGAACACAAAATTAAAAACATAAATATTTTAATACTCAAGAAAAAATGTCTGGGTTTCCTGGGAATCTTCAAAATAGAAATATAGTGAGGTATTCTACTAAACCCAAAACTTCAACACTTTATTTAAAAAAATAAGCCCACTTTATTTATTATTTGACATCCACAGAAAAGAAGGAATTCAACAAAACTGAGATTGTAAGCATAATAATTACATTTTACTTTGCTGTTCTGTTTTGTATTTTGAGGTAGGGTCTTGCTATGCAATTCAGACAGGTGGGAACTCACTAAGCAGCTGTGACTGACGTACAACTCATGGCAATCCTCCTGCTTCAGCTTCCCAAGTGCTAGGTGTGCACCACCGGGCCCAGCAGTAACTAAATATTTTAGAACTGCAAATTTTCTTAGAATGTGCTTTCTAAAAACCAACATAGTAGAAACATCAACATTAGCTTGATCCTTACATTCTATCAAAAGTCTCAATTGTCATACAGGAACCAGACAGTGACATCTTACAAACATCACTAGGGGGTAGAAGAAGTGAGAGAAGATACAGAATTTTGCATGCTACCTTACTATCCCTTTTTCAGGTTAGGAAAAATGCTCAGAGTCCTGGCATGCTGGTGCACGCCTGGAATCCCAGCACGGGAGAGGCTGAAAACAGGAGGATCACTATGAGTCCAAGCTGTGAAGTCGGATTCTGTATCAAATAGGTTTAAAAAAAAAAAAAAGTGAAGTCTTAGCTATTATAAGGCTTGATAAAACCAATTCTTCAACAATTTGTTTATAACTTCTTTCCTAAATTGCTATTTCTTCTTTTTAAAAAAAAAATTATGTATTTGGTACAGGGTCTCACTACGCAGCTCGGACTCATGTGGTTGTAGGGATAGAACCCCAGGCTCTGTGCTTGCCTAAGCAGGCACTTAGTCCACTGAGCTCTCTCACCTGCTCCCCTAAATTGCTATTTGACAAGTAATAGTTTGTCACCATGCAAACTATAACCATTATCCCAAATAAGAATAAGGGCACTACAGAAAAAAATCAGTAGCAAAGTGAAAAGACAATCCACAGTGTGGGGAAAAATTTTTAGCCAATTGTCCCTCAGACAAAGGACTTCTATGTAGAACATACAAAGAACTGGAAAAAAAAATCCTCCAAATTCAAAGGCCCAATCAAAAAATGGACATTTGAGATGAATACACATTTCTCAGATGAAGACATACAAATGGCAAATAAATATATGAAGAACATGTTCAATATCACTGGTCATTTGAGAAATGTAAATTAAAACACTGAGATTCCATCTCACCCTGGAAAGGATAGGTATTAGCAAGAAATCAACCAGTAACAAATGCTGGAGGGGTTGTGGGGAAAAAGGAAGCCTTCTCCACAGTTGGTGGGAGTGCAGACTAGGACAATCACTGCGGAAATCAGCATAGTTTCCTCAAAAAACTAGGCTAAGAGGCTGCACTCAACCCAGCTGTCTCCCTTCTGGGTATCCTCCCAGAAGAAAAATTAAAAACATCACACTACAGCAATATACGTGTACCCATGTTTACAGGGGCACAATTTATGATGGCTAGATTTTGGATACAACCCAAATGCCCATCAACTAAGGAATGG